GTTTTCGGAGAAGCACCTGTGGCAGTTTCAGCAGTTTCTATATGGAATGCTCCCCCTTTCTAGGATTACTTGAAAAAATCAAGTCAATTCGAATTACGTAGCTGTAAAACATTGACATGTGTAGTTTTTACAGATTAAGAATCTTCTGTGTGATTTAAAAAGGGCAATGGTTCATAAAACAGGAAACTTAAATAATAAGGGATCACATATTTGCAGGCAACATTTGGATTAAAAATACATATACATACATGAAGTGCAGAAGCACACTTATTTGAGCACAGGCCATTGTCATGTGACCTCCTTAACCAAAAGCTATTGCTCTAAAACACTGCCTCCTCAATCACTTATAATTTTTAGCATGAAGCCAATTTAATTATGTCAATATTTCAACAAAATTTAACAGTATGGACTAAAAACCATTAACTCACGATTCTGGTTACTTTAAAATTTGGTATGCTGTATCTCAAATACATTAGTAACTATTCCTAGATGAAAATAAGCAAATACATGGAATCATTAAAAAAAAAAAGATTAAAAACATTACTAAATGTCCATTTGTACAAACAAAACTTTAGCAAACATCATAAGATTTCTTCAGTAAAAGAAAAATGTATATTTTTAACCCTTTGGTATCCAAATTCTTAAATAATTATGAAAACTCTTAAATATATTCTTTAGGTAACAATAGGGAGACACTATTTTTTAAAGTTTCTACCTTTAAAAATTTGGTGCCAAGTTTTCATTTTAAGTTCAATACTGATTAAAATAGTTTTACATTGCAACTGAACCCCAATTATGTTTGCATACATTAAAATGAATATCATTCAAATATTCTGATGAAATATTTAAAATGCTCCCACTATATTCTAGCAAAGGTAAAATATATTTGGATTTAGAAATCATTAGTTTTATTTAAAAACATTCTTTGTAAAAGCAGGGGTTAAACAAATATTAAAACCTATATATTACTCAAGCATGAAAAATAAAATTTGTCAACAACTCTTCAATACTGTTCAGTTAACATCTGCTCCTGCCCAGGAAGCAGAACTTTGATAGCTAACTCAGCAAGTTAACTCCTCCACCTTGCTCTTAACACTTTAATAAAAGAAAAAAAAAAAAAAAAAAAAAAAAAAAAGACCCAGGAAATAATAAGATCAGACAAGTTTGCCATAATGACAATTAAGTAAAGGGCACAGCACTAGGTAAGGATGACTGGAATGCAGAGGATCTAAAATCAGAAACTACTAATTCAGAGCTGTTATACTAATAAATTGCATAGTTGGGCTATTATTCTGAAGAATAAATGAAACCACCAAAAGTTCAAAAAATAAAGAAATGTAAATAAAAAAAGAAATCACAAATTTCAAAGTAAAGTTGGGTTATTTTGCCAAAGGCAAAAAAAAGTTGCAAACTTCTTGCACTATTATTAAAAATACTAGAGATCCAGTGCACGAAAATTCACTTTTTGGCAATATAAAAAAAGTCTGTTATGATCACTTTTGTTATTATAGACAACTGTGCCTGTTTTCTAAATTAGGCAAGCTTTTTTTTTTTTTTTTTTTTTTAGACTGAGTCACTGAGCTTGTTTATATAAGGCTAGAGAAGCTTTCCAGCTAAGTTCTTTTAGGGATCACGCTAATTAAGTTAAAATACATGTAAGCCTACTTGAAGATCTGGTTGCAACAGAATCGATGATTCTACTGAAAGCTATGAGACTAAATACTGCCACCTACATAAGTGATATTAAAATGGACCTGCAAATTTGCCTGATATGCAAGTAATTCTGGTTTTACTCTGATTCCTGCTAACTCTTCCCACTCTTTTTTTTTTCCCCCCCACTCCAAGGCATTAAAAAAAGCTACTTTAATATCTGGTTGATATTGAAATATTCTCAACTTCAACCTAATAAATACAAAGTAACCAAAATTAATTGATGCACAAATACTAAAAGTAAAAATAATACAAGACTCAAATCTGCACTTTACATTGTTAGTAAAAAGGTCTGCTTATTATCAGTATTAATAGATAGTAAGTTTTCAAGCATCTTTTTCTGAAATCACATTAAGACAACCTTATATTGTTACTAATTGGTCACAAAAGAAAAACAAGACAACTTTTACATGTCAGTACATGCCCTTATTCCACTCAAAAATCCTAGTGTGGAGTAGGCAGCATTCAAATATTAGCTGCAATGAAAAACCGAACTGCCATACAGGATGATCAACTTAATGAACCTCCATACTTGTCATAAATGAGAAAAAAATGAGAATGAGAAGCATGGTAGAGGTGTAGATCATTTAAAGTACACAAACATTTAGTCTGATCATAGAGCTGATGTATAACCTTGAGCATTTTTATTTTTAGTTCTGAACAATGAATGGCAAATAATGACCATCATATATGATAAGTAGAAACAAAACCTCACGTGAAAAAGAAAACTTGGCACCAAAACTCAAGATGTAAAATAAGAGAAGAAAAAGAAACTCCATCAATATACTCACGTGTGGTGCTAGAAAATGTAATACGATGCACAGCAGTTGACATGCGTTATCTTACAGATGCAGCCTATATTGACAAGTTAGTTACATAACAAAGCATTCTAGCCACAGGTGTGTGGTATAGCTGCCCTCACCACTATCTACCCAATGACCAAAAAGCAGCAAGTAAGACTTTGGCCACTTTATGCAGCTGATATATAAAAAGCAAAGTAGAAATTACAAACGAAATTATTAAATCCCACCAAGTGTGATAAAATGATATGAGATAGTTTTTAATCTATTCAGGGGAAAAATGAAAAATTATATTATCTCCTAAGCATTATGGCATGTGATATGAAAATCTAATAATCTGATCTGTCCTAAACTGAAAAAAAAAAAGTAACTTTAAATAAATTAATTATGTGCCCTTTGATCTTAAAATAGAAAAAGGCATTTTATTTGCTAGAATTACACTTACCACATGAGCAGCATTATACTAAACAAGTAAAATAGATCTAAGTATCATAATTTGGGGGAATCAAACTATTACTTGTTGGTAGACTAAAACTTAAAACTATAAAAATGTGCAGAAAAAATATCAAAAAAGCAATTTACAATTTAGCTTATTGGCAAAACTGACATTTTTATCTCTATGTTACAATTAAATAACCCCACATATAATTACAATAAATGATTACTGTGCTCTATCCAGGCCAAAGACTTATACTTTTAAGAATCACTTTTGGCTAGGTGGCTCAGGCTAAATATTTCTTCTAAAAAATATCTGAAAAGTTCAGTCAAGGGAAATCACCATAATGCAGGGTCTCGAGGGAGTGGCTCTTATACTGAAAAACAGACTGGCACTCGAGGTCATGCTCAGTCACACTTGGTGGAAAAGAGACACTCGAGGGTCCTGTAACCAAGGACAGAATTGTAAATAAAATTATCTCATTTTAAAGACACCTATTAAAAGGACATAGCAATAGGTATTTATTGGCTTAAAGGATTAAGCTATCCATTAAAATGAATAAAACTAACATTTTAGTAATAAAATGTTCAGGACCAATTAAAATTGTTTAAAAAATAAGACATTAAAAAAGATCAACCTGTAATTATTATTTCAATAAGTGACAATTAAGCAATCTAATCAATTATTTTATGTGACTCTGTATCTTATAACCAAAGCTTGTTATTAAAGGTAAGTTTTTAATCTAAATACAGCTAAGAAAACTGCATATATATCTTTGGTTTTAAAGTAATCCATTGAGAATTAACTCAATGTTTTTAACATGGTATAATATCTATTTGTTTTTACATTACCTTAGTTATAACTACATATGAAATCACAAGGCACCCTGAAACGTAATAGTTAAAATGCAAGTCATATTTATAAAACTAAATCACTACATAAATGACCCAAGCCGAACTAACGACTAATCTTATTACTAAATGAAACAGAAGCTAAGATACTAAAAGCCCAATGACAGCCCCTGGTATTAGACCTATATGGTTTTGCTCTCCAGAGTCTATTTTCAATATTTATTATAAGACAGAGTCAAACAATGAAGTGGAAACCAAAGGGTTAAACTAAGTTTTGTGGATTTTATTTCTCCCAAAGTCTAAAATTTCACATTGCCAATAGAATAAAGTGGATTGTAATTAATTTTTAAGAAATATTCAAGACACTCAAGATAAAACAAAAAAGCTGATATTGTCAGTTATTTTGGTTATTATAGCTCTATAGCTTACACTCAACATTTAAGGGTGAAAACCGCATCCATTTTGTTAATGCTGTGAACTGCAGAAGAAAAATTTTTATCATATAAATCTTTGAAAGTATATACAACTGAATTTACTACCTAAGATAAATGTATAATGCTATGACTAGCTAATGATTTACATACAAAATAACACTTAAAAAAACACTCAAATATTTTGTTTTACCAAACTACAAATAAGCTAGTTGATGTAAACTGGGCCAAAACAAAGATACTCTAAATGCCATCATATCAAAAGCTCAGAGAGATTTAGAAGCCTTTATTATAAATAGTTATATTTTACAAGGAGTTACAAAATCATCAAAAGTTATAATAGGTTTTAAACATAATGTTCTCACATCTGCTAAAAGATGAGGAAATAAAAATTTAGAAAAGCTAATTGTCTACAAGATTTTTTTTTTTTTTTTTTTTTTGAGCCAAGAGGCCTGAAAATATTTTAATCTAATCCAAGGCCTTAGTTTCCAAATTACTACTTGGCAAAGAAAAGTTTGAAGACTTGCCCATGGTGATATAATTGTTAGTGGCAAAGTCAATGATGCTAGGTTCCAAATTTAATCAGTTAACTAACTGATCTGCCCCTTCTGTTGGTCAACTTAACCCTCACCAAAACCAACTGACCTAAAAAGCAAAATTATACTACTAACATTAAAAACAAAGTTCAGGACTTTGCTTGCTCTAAGTACTGTTTCTAAACACAACACCCTTAACTACATCTTGGCTGGAAAGAATAAACAAAGACACTTACTCGATGTGTGCCCCATTAGCTACTAGGGCGCTGATGCAGTCTAGGCTTCCAGAGCGAGCCGCCTTGTGAATGGGAGTCTCGCCCTCACAGTCCTGGAAAACAAAACAAAACACCACAAAAAGGGACACACACCAATATTCAGATCCAACAAGATTTCCACATTTTATAGTAAAATTAACATACACCATGCACCATTTCATTCATCTTTGAAATAAAACAATATGGTAAGCCAAATTTGAAGCACAGCACAAAGAAATGTAGATGTGAAGGGAAAAAAAGAGCAGTCCAGGGTAAAGGCACACTTTGCTCAAAAACAAAAATAATCTGTACAGCAGTGATAGCATGTACATTCTAGATCAGTGGTTCCCAATGTGGGCACATGTTCCACGGGGGGGCAATTCGAGAATGAGTTATTAACAGAGAATTTTTTGCATTTTTATGGTTCTAGGGGCCTCATATACAATATATAAATATATATTGTAACACATTTATGCATTTCAGTTCTCTATATGTTTTGAAACTTTATTTGCTATTTTTCCGTATCACTTCATATTATTATTTTTTTTTTAAATTTCTTAGTGATTTCTTCCTCGGTATTTAACTGTCCTTTCATTTTATTTTTCTCTATCACTGAAGCTATGCTCTTTGGGAGCTTGTTTAGAACAAGTTAATGGCCTTTTAGGCTTCCTCCATGTGAATAGTTTACTTTTTGAATAACAAGAGTTATATGTAGATGGAAGGGAATCAGGATTTTAGGGCTGCTTGGGGGGGGGGGGGGGGGCATGGCCAAAAAAGGTTGGGCCAAGAAATAGCACCAATATTTAACATCTAGTCTAGTTTACCCATATCTACCACAAAGCTGGCTTGATTCGAGACATCACCAGTTTCTCCTTTGGATTTTTTTTTACTTTGAACTTGAATTTGGACTACACTGTAGAGCAGTGGTCTCCAACCTTTTGGACCTCATGGACCACCAGTTGGCGACTGCTGCTGGAGAGGACATGGTTGAGGTTAAAGAGTCAAGAAATGATGGGAAGGGAGAACACAGTGTCAAACATAGCCAACTAGTATAGAACTCAGGCTGTTTGTGATGAGCAAATCTGTCCAAGGACTTTTAGAAAGGCTGTATTAGAATCAGATTTATGCTTCAGAAAACAATGCTGGAAGAGGTAGAGGAAGTGAGTTGACTCAGAGAAACAATTCAATACTAATGTATTAATCCAAAAAAAAAAGGGGGAGGGATGAATTAGTTTATATTGAATGAATGGAAAAAATGTGAAGCACTACTTGATTTATAGATTCTCAGGTAAATTAGAGGTAAAGAAAGATACAGAATCAAGAGAAGTCATTTCTGCTAAAAGACTGATTTAGGGCTTTTTGTCTGGGAAATTCCAAGAGGCTAAGCAGCAACAGTTCCTGAATCAGTAACACTTCAATGTCACTGAAAACGGAACTTGGCAGAAGACTACCATAGTTAAGAGATAAAGATATAAAGCAGGAGTGGGGCTAGTTTAGTGTCTGATACAGTACTTACAAAATTGCTCATTCATAAATTCAATCAATATTTGAGCTCCTTACCAATGCCTATTAAATTACAGGGGGAGAAACTAAGGTGAAGGCTAAAATAAAAACAGTGGTACATTATTTTACAGAAAAATGTAATATGAAAAGCCTGCCAGTTTAGTGGAGGAAAAAGCATGTACATTTATTTTAAAATATGCTCAAAAGTGATATAAAGTACTATACAGAATAATCCAATTTTTCAAGAAACACAGAAAACCATGTGGTTCTATAAGGAACTAACAACTGAACTCAGATTTTTTAAAAACAGAAACATACCCCTATCCGCCCCCAAAATAGGTAAAGGTGGGAAGGGACAAATAATAAGAACAAATAAAAATGTCAGACGGGTATTGTCAGAAAAAGTAGAATTGAGATTTAGATGAGGTTTTGCAAAAAACAACCAACCAACCAAACAACAAAAAACCCACAAAGCAAAACAACAAAAACCCTCAGGGAAAATAAAGTTTTGTCTTTAGAAAGCTACCTTTGGAACAAAAAGGAAAAGGATTTTTGCTACTATTTCCAGAAGATGGTGGGATAGTAACAGATGATGAGAGCAAAACTACCTGTTCTGTGTTACACAAGGAGAACATCATTAAACTGGGAAGGGCAGAATAAATACTACTTAAAGAGAACTATGGCCAAAAGAGTAAGAGTAGAGAGCCATTTTAAGGTTATTATTTCAGACCAGTCACATTTCAAAAACACCAAATAGTCTGTAATGTGACTCTGGGAGTATTGTTGGCAAACTCTTAAGTAATAAAGGAAGAAAGCAAGAGAAGTTACTAGAAATCTGAAGACAGACAAGTCACCTTGAATTTTAATAAGGAAAAATCTCATTTCTAATCTAGGTACAAGAAACTATGGAAGCAATATCAAATGCCAGCAAAATTCTAGAAGGGGTATTAAAGAGATGACTTGCAAACACAAAAAAATGACACCCAGGGATAGTCATGACAGACCAGCGATTTTTAACCCCTGTGTTGCAATAAGTTTTAAAACATGCAATACCTATTTAGTCTGGGGGCACTGACCTCTTTTCCCTTAGACTGTAAACAAACAAAACAAAACAAAAACAAAACAGCCATCATTGTAAATTGATCACAATTATACTTTTTGGGGTCAGATTGGCAAAAAAATTTTTTTTTGGTGTGCTGCAGAATTTTAGTAATTAGTTTGCGTGCCATGAGATGAAAAAGGTTGAAAATTGCCACTATAGACTTACAAAAAATAAATCACTTGAAAACTAACTTTACTTCCTTGTGTAAACTTAGAACACTGAGCCTCCAGACATTACACTTAGTTTTGAAAGCTCCATATGTTGACCTTAGAGATGGCAGAAGATATCTGCTAATCTTGAGAAAATGGCTAGTCATTTACATGCCAAGAGATTAGAACAAGAAGATGGGTTAAAACTAACAAAATGTCAAGAAAAAATATGCTTGGTTCAAAAAAGTTACACACACACAAACAAATAAAAGCCTAAGAAAAACCTGGATCTGGCTTTATAGTAGTTTATCTAGAAAACGAGGAAAACTCTCTACCTCAAGATGGATCAAAAGTGTGTTGGGGAAGCCAACAAAAGGGCTACTGGGACCTCAGGGGTCACTGGGTGCCTGTCATAGCATCCCACTGTTACCTACCAGAGCAAGACAACATCAGAGATTCAGAACGAAGTTCAGCACCAGACCACGCCAACTGAGATCCTATCAGGAGCAATGCCAGATGTTTAAGAAATCCAAGTGGCACCCTTGACATGGGAGGACTTGGGGATATTGAGCCACAGGAACAATTATAACAAGGGAGGGTTGTAAGGAGAGAGTGGGATTTAGGAATTCTGGCCCTGGGAGCAAAGTTTAGGAGAGATTTCCACACAGTGCTAAGGAGAGCAGCTCAGAGGAGGGAGTGGGGGCAAACTTTTTACCTATAAAAAATACTGAGCTGTTAAAAACATTATTTGAAAAGGGGGATTACTTTAGAAAGGTCTGAAAAGTAACGTTATATAATTTCTTTAGCTTTAACAACTTAATGAAAATTAACATGTAGAATATTCTGCACTTAAATTCCATATTAATATTAAACATTAATTACTGCTATTTATGGATTGTCCATATTTTATTGATAAAAAAGGTTGAGCCACAGACAAAGAAAATTACTTGCCCAAGGCCAGAGAGATGAAGAAGCAGAGTGTGGAATCAAGGCCCAGTGCCCTTCCTACTGGGATAAAGAGGGAGAAGAGGAGAATGCAGGACCAGGAATGAGACAAGTGGAGACAGGAAATGCCTATAGCAATAATAGCATACAGTTGTCACCCTGTAAGTCCTGAGTAGGTGGATAAAAGTAACAAAGTCATCTGGCCATTGTGGCTCAGTAGTTGAGCTTAACCCACACACCAGGTCACTGGTTTGATTCCCTTTGAACCCCAGGCCCAGGTTTCAGCTCCATGCCCAGTGGGAGCATGCAGGAAGCTAATCCATGTTGTTTGATGATGTTTCTCATGGATATTTTTTCCCCCTCTCTCCCTTTTTCTCTATCTAAAATTAATAAAAATGTATTTTAAAAATTCTTTTAAAAAGTCTGTGTATATAAAGGCATCCTGTGTGGAGATATAAGTTCCAGTTACTAAGTAACAGAAACAAGTCTAAAATCCAGGGCTTTCCTTTCCCACCAATCCTTGTGTTAAATCACTGCTAACACACTTTCCTCAATTACTTGTTTTGTAGGTGGGTATCTGCGTTATCTTTAGGAGAGAGCTTGCAACTATTTTATTTCTGGCTATTATCAAGGGATGAATCTTAGGAAAGACAAAAAAGCAGAAAAGAGGGAATGAAAGTTACTTGGGACACAGCAGACCCTTGATGATTATCAGTAGTACACTTAAGTTTTGGAAACTCCTTATGTTGACCTTAGAGATGGCAGAGATTTAACCTCTAATTTTGAGAAAATGGCTAGTTATTAACATGCCAAAAGATTAAAACCAGGAAAAGAATACAAAAATAGGATAAAGGAGAAGAAAAAAAGTCCAAAGACGAATCCAACCTGGGGCAGGTGCCAAGACTGGGGATGCTCCAGGCAGACTATCTATGGAGTTTTTCTACAACCACAGCCTGTCAAGAGAGTTCCCAATAAGCTAAGCACTCTTCTTATGGGTGTCCCCTCTCCCCCGCTCATGTGAATAGAACACTGAAAACACACCATTAAAAACCTGGCATTCTCATGTTTATGTTTGTATGCTTAAATACAAAATCTTTGCATTTGGTGTCCAGAAGTCACTTCTTAGTGGCTACTTATGTCTGTCATCATCACCCCAACTTGTATCTGAAGCAACATTAACTCATATTGGCCATTATTCTAAGCTTAGAGCACTAGTTAAGTATACAATTTTACCTATATGTTCCCAAAAATTCTAGTTTAGCACTTCTTAGTTGGGATTCAGGAATCTGTATTTTAACAACTCCACCAGGTGATTCTCATCATGAGAGAAGTTTGGGAAACACTGTTCTAAGGCTAACTTAATTACAGATACATTTAATAGCCTTTCTTTTGCTAGTATGAATATGTTTTCATAATTATCAGTGGAAACAAGGCTAAGGCAGCAGTGAACTGGGATGCCAGGGGAGCTGGGCTTAAGGCCAGATTCCTTCAGTCACAGCTGTAACCTTGGGCAGATCACTCTGGGTCACCATGGATCACAGTAAATCATGTAGCAGGTGAGAGTACTCTATAAACAGAAAGCATTGCTATGTGAAACGCCTATTATCCCAAGGTAATCCAATAAACATAAATTCCAATTAGCCCACAGGTAAAAACATCAAACTCTAATTAAGGCCTCAATTTAAAACTCAGCACCATGTAATTATAACTGGAAAAAGAAAACAAAGCAAATTCCCTTACCGGTTTGTTAATGCTGGCTCCTGCTTGAATCAACCAGAGCAGGCACTGAGGATGGCCTCCAAAAGCAGCGATGTGAGCTGGGGTCTGTGCGTAACGTGTGGTGCAAACATCAAGCGTGGCTCCAGCTCTCACCAACTGCATTAAGCACTCCAACTTCGAAAACAGCAGGAGAAATGAAACATGCATAAATGTTGGTGTACTATTAAATATTACACAAATAATCTAATTCTACAATGGAGATTAAGTGGCATTTGTTACCAATTTTTTCCCCTCTGTTTAAGGGAAGAAAGTAAGTCGTTCCTTCCCAATGCTATAGAAATTTTAAAAGGCACTAAAAAACAAAACATTTTTCTTTATTCAAAAAATTGGCACATAAGCCCGGCTGGCATGGATCTGTGGTTGAGCATTGACCTATGAACCAGGAGGTCATGGTTCGATTCTGGGTCAGGGCATATGCCTGGGATGCAGGTTCAATCCCCAGAAGCGTGTGTGCAGGAGGGAACCAATCAATGATTCTCATCACTGATGTTTCTATTTCTCTCCCTTAATAAAAATAAATTGGCACATAGGAACATAAAGTAAAAAAGCCTGACACTACACAAATTTTTGTTTTCCCTACAGTTGGAAAAGACAAAGTAAGATTAGCTTGCATTAGTAATCAGACTTCTATCAAAACTAGGTTTTGCCACTTTCATAAACTATTATTCTAAAGAATAAAAATGTTAAAGCGATTGGTAGATTAAAAAAAGGTTTGTGTAGCCATGGTAAACTTCCCATAGTCAAAGGCTGTTTTCTGCAGTCTGCACAACTATACACCTTTATACAATGCAGCATTTGATGAATACTCAATTGAGATCTACCCTTCAGATTATCTTCTCAGGGGGGAAAAGATGTGTAGAGTAAGTGAGATGGTAGGATTTAAATCTTTCCAAACTGATTGTATAGAGGAAATACTTAAAACAACAATGCAGAAAAGGGATAGAGCACAGCAGAGCCCTGCACCTAGCAGATGACTAGAAGGAACACAAGAGTCAAGTCAAGACTCTGCAGCCTGGTTACATATATGCAGCCTTGGTTACATGTTATACTAGCCTCTGGGTAAAGAACTCATCCTACTCAACATACATGGAACAACTGCCTACCACGTGCCAAGCACTGTCCAAGAAGGCCTGTTGTTCTCAAGGACTTACACTCTTCCACCTGGTGTGTCCTCAGATGCTGGACTCCAGACTGCTGTTTCCGTTCACGAAGCACCATGCACAATTAGTGATAAAGCTCTAACTGCCAAAATTCTCTCTCTTCCAGAGAACAGACCTCAAATGAAGAACAGATAGCTATGTTCCCATCTCACCCCAAGTCTCTTATTCTCTTTCAGCAATGTAAGCTTTTCTTTGCAAAGGACAGATGACCAAAATCAACATTTTTGTGAGATGAATTCTCTCAGTTCAAAGTACACTGATTTAAAACATGCTCCCTGTCTTCAAGGAACTTGAATCTGGAAGTGGTTGCTGATAAAGAGACAATTTGGGTATATTGTTACATATTGCCTTATTAATGTACTGAGTAAAAAGTGCCAATACTAGTGATAAAATGAACAGCTGTTAAATCCAACAAAAATGAAACAAGGATAAAAAATTACTTGGAAGCCCTAACTGGTTTGGCTCAGTGGATAGAGCGTTAGCCTGCGGACTGAATGATCCCAGGTTTGATTCTTGGTCAAGGGTATGTACCTTGGTTGTGGGCCCATCCCCAGTAGGGGTGTTGCAGGAGGCAGCTGATCCATGTTTCCCTCTCATCGATGTTTCTAACTCTCTGCCCCTCTCCCTTCCTCTCTGTAAAAAATCAATAAAATATAAAATATATAAAAATATATAAAATAATATAAAAATATAAAAAATTTCTTGGTATTCCAAAAGCAGTTAATCTTAATATCAATTGAGAGCTCCCTGGACTTAAAACTGTACCTATTAGTTCAATTTAGGAAACTGGGTTTGGAACTCTGGAAAAATACTGTTCAATAAGACAGTTTGTAAAAAGCAAGGTATAATTAGGAATTTTAAATGTTAAGTGCTCTGGGAACAAGTAAGTCTCATAAAAGGTTAGGAAACTCATGCACAATTGGCACATTTCTAGGAACACAAGCTTGAAAGTTGGCTATATATATAAAAGTCCAATATGCAAAGTGTCTCCTTTGGAGTTCGACTGACCACCAGGAGCGGAACGAAGGGAGGCCCCTGGTGGAAATTTAGACTGCTTCAGACACTCACGGACTGAATTTGTGGAAATCTACAAATTTTGTGCACTGGGCTGTCAGTAGTTTATAATTATGCTAGATTAGCTCTTGCACAAGCCAAGAACAGTGTAGGCTTAAATGCATATAAAAGAATGGAAGCTGTTTCCAAGGGGCAGGAAGTGTTTAGGGGGGACTGGACTGGGAACCTATAGCACTGAATCCTGGTCTAATTTCTGTCTTAACAGCTTTTTCTCAAAGACTGAATGATCCTTTCTACAGCCCTTCTGTATTGCACACTATACATTTATAATGATTAAAGACGGCTGAAAACACTAGAGTAATTGCCTCTATTTACAATATTTGGCCTCTGAGGTTAATCTACAAAAGTAAAAAGACCTTCAAAAAGTCAGCGTTATTATCATAAAATACACACGACAAGAAATTTATCATTTTAAGCATGTTAAAGCAGTTATGACCATTAGTAATTCCTAGAGATACTGGAAGGCACCCTTGGGTTGGTAACTATTCTGAATGACCAATTTTAATGTGAGTTAAGCATTCTACAGAATGTACAGGCTTGTCATACAATACTGTGTCACTTTCTACCAGGGTAGGGAGGATAGGCATTGACAGGGAAGCCTTTTCAAAAAAGCTGTCCTTGCCTGTTACAAGGGTACCTTTCCCCAAAACGCAGAGGGATAAAAAATGTTGAGAACCAATGCTTTGAGAGTTTAATGTAAAAACAAACCAGAGCAAGATGCTCTCAGGAGGGAGATAATGCCTCAGATTACGACTGCCTTGGGAAATCTACATAGAAGAGAGAAGGAAGGAAAGGAAAGAGGGCGCTGTTATTTTTAAGAAACTGATTTCCCACAGGCACTCATTGTCAGCAACTGGTGCTATAGTAACACCACGTTAGAGACTGGCGCCATGGGATCTTATGGTTGATTAAGTTACTTGCCTCATCCCCACTAATCATAATTCCCTTTCATTTCTTTCACTAAAATAAACATGACTTTTCCGTAAAAGATTCAAGTGTATTCGTGCATATAGCACCAAGAAGAGCAAAGTAAAGCCATTTCACCTGCTAGTAATAATATTATACAAAGATGCTCATGTCTTAAAGTAACATTTCGCATTACCCTGCATCTATTTTTGCAAAAACTTTGTTTCAACCTAACCTCATAATTTCAGAGGGGAACATTTTTAAATGCCCCTGAATTTTGACATAGAAATCTTAATGCTACCTTTTTAAAAAAAAAAATCCTCACCAGAGGTATTTTTTCATTGATTTCTGGAGAGAGTGGAAGGAAGGGAGGAGGGGGAGAGATAAACATCGATGTGACAGACACACATCATTGATAGATTGCCCCCCGCATGTGCCCCTCCCAGGTTGGGGGGACCTGCAACCCAGTTACTTGTCCTTGACCGGGAATCGAACCCGCGACCCTTCAGTCCGTGAGCCGACGCTCAAACCTTAGAGCAAACCGGCCAGGGCTTAATCAGTTACTTTTGAAATGCACCGAACAAGTCCCTTTACTTCTTCTCTGATCACACCACCTCATTTACTGCACAGAAGGGGAAACCGTTACCTACTCTTGAAAAACTTTCAAGTTCCACTCTGTCCTCAAGTTATCACAGGGAGATAATTTTGCCTAACTGAACACCTTTACGGTAATTTACACGGAAAGTAGAACCACCACCGTTGATTTTATTTAATCCGGGGCAAGCTAAGAGGCTCCGAAGCATATGGACAACATTCTACACGAAATCCCCTAAAAAAAACAAAACCCATGTGTGACAAGTCTCACCAACTTATCTTACACATCGGCCTGGTGCCTTTACACCTCCATCAGGTTCTCCCACTACCGAGACCGCCTGGAACACAGCCTCCAGCTCACGGGGAGGTCCCCAGGTCACTCGTGTGCACGCCGGTCCCCGCGGGACCGGGGCGCAGACCCCAGCCGTGGGCCATGGGAGACGGGAGGGGGCGCCCCAAGTAGCGCCGGGCAGGGGTTCCGACAAACGCGGGCGCCCCTCGGCGTGGAGGAAGGGGAACCCGGCCCGCCGATCCTCCTCCGAGTTCCGCGCGGCTTCGCGGCCGGCGCCTGCAGTTCTCCCCTGGGTCAGAGCGGGAGCGGGGAGACCTCCAGAGCCCGCGGCCCGCAGCGCTCGGGCCCCGGCCGCCCCGCGGGTTTCCCCGGAGAAGTTCCCTCCAGGGCCTCGTCCCTCACCATCACCCCACAGGGCCAGCGGCGGGAGGCTCCGGCCTCCGACACCGGCGACCGGGAGGGAGCAGGCACGCATCCTCCCGGCGAGGGGCGGCGCCTCCGGGAAGCCGGCGCCTCCGGGAGGCCGCCCCCGTTTGAAACTTAGCGCGGCCGCCCCAGCGCCCTAGGCCCTCGGGGCGCCTCCGGTTCCTCTTCCGCCCGCGTCCCTAGGGGCATCGGGGCGGCAGCCGACACGCCCCTCCCCGAGCTCCCGGCACGCCTCGCGCCCCCAGCGCTCAGCCCCCATCTTCTCCGACCCCACTAGGAAAGCTGCGGAAAATGGCGCCTTAAAGCGCCCGCGCCCACCTTGCCGAAGTGCGCGGCCCAGTGCACCGGCGTCCAGCCGTAGAAGGAGTCCTCGGCGGCCAGGTGGGCGCGCGGCGCCTGCTGCAGCAGCGAGCAGAGCGCGGCCAGGTCTCCGTCGCGGCAGGCGCGGTGCAGCGGGAAGCGGAGCGACAGCAGCTCCTCACTAGAGAAGCCGGCTTCCACGCCCGGGCACGCTCCCGCCGCCGACATGGCCAGTCACCGAAGAGTGGGCGCGGGCGGGCCGAGAGGACGCACCGGGGAGGACCTGCGAAGCCGCCGCCGCCGCCGCCGCCGCCCGAGCACAATGGAGCGAGTGTAGCGCCGCCGCCGCGTCCCGCCGGCTGCCCAGCGCCGCGCGCACGGGGGCGGGGCCTCGGAGGCCGGGCCGGCGCCGGGAAACGCCGAGTCTGGAAGGAGGCCGGAGCCGCGGGGAGGAGCCCGGCGGGGCCGGAGACGGAGCAGACGCCTGGGGCGGCGGGCTGAGCGCGGTCGGGATCTGGGGAGGGGCCGAGACCGGAGGCCGTCCGGAGGCTGCCGGGGTGGAGCCGCCGGCGACGGAGGGGCCGGAGGGGGCGGGGCCTGGCGCGGCCGGGCTGAGGCCTAGGGCTGCGGGGGGCGGGGGAGGGGGAACGACGCCTGGAGCGCGGTGGGGGGGTATGGGGGGGCGTAGAGGGGTGTTGGGGCCTGTGGTTGGCAGAGGAGCGGTGCCGAGGCTGCCCCTGGTCCGGCTGGTCCCTCGGGCTCTGGGCCGCGCCGCCTTCGCAGACCCCAGGCCCGGCAGGAGTCCGGATTGTCCCGTGAGGGGCGGCCCAGCCGCGGGGCCTGCGGGCAGAAGCCCGCCCCACTTAAAAAGCTCCAGGAAAAAAAAAATAATAATAATAATAATAGTAATAATAATTAAAAAGCCCCGGGAGGCTCAGGTTTGGGGTTCTGCGACTCTCCGGAAGCGGGATTCAGGGTCCCTGGGAGGTTTCGGCCCGCGCGCCCGTAGTTCCCCAGTTACCCCTTTGGGGGAGACCACTGAGATCTGAGGCCCAGGCCCGGAGCGGAGGTCAAGTTCCCGCGCTTTCTGCCCTAATTGGAGCGCCCGCTGGTCGTTTTTTTTTCGAGGACAGCAAAAATAAAGAGAAAAATACTGCTGCATGCAAAAAAATACTACATTATTTTTCAATGCCTGAGAACCATTGTTTTTTTGTTTTTTAAGTAGGTTTTTATCCGACCATGAGTAAAACGTGAAAATTACCAATAATTTCACTTTGGGGGATAACCATTATTAACGTTTTTAAAAGTATATATTTTATTGATTTTTAAAATATATATATTTTATTGATTTTTTTACAGACAGGAAAAGAGAGAGGTAGACACATTGATGAGAGAGAAACATAGATCAGCTGCCTCCTGCACACCCTCCACTAGGGATGTGCCCAAAACCAAGGTACATGCCCTTAACCAGAATCGGACCTGGGACCCTTAGGCCTGCAGGCCAATACTCTACTGAGCCAAATCAGTTAGTGCTGTATTTTATTGATTTTTATTCAGAGAGGAAGGGAGAGGAATAGAGAGTTTGAAACATCAATGAGAGAGAAATGTGGATCAGCTGCCTCCTGCACATCCCCTCTTGGAGATGTGTCTGCAACCAAGGTACATGCCCTTGACCGGTATCAAACCTGGGACTCTTCAGTCCGCAGGCAGAAGCTCCATCCAAACCGGTTAGGGCCATTACTAACGTTTATGAATATTTACATAACAGTCCTTTTCTAACCATATAGTTTGTTTTGTACATATTTGTTTTCCTTGTGTATATTGCTTTCCTTTTTTTTTACAGAATTTTAATAATAGTAAACTATAAGTAGGTTACCACATATTTGGGAAAATATTGATGCATAATATAGTACATTGCAGCGTTAGTTAATAAAACAATAAATTAGAAACAGTGCCTAGCAAAAGGAATGACAGCTATCTATACAACAATGAATGAATGAAACACAACGGGAAATGCTCTAGATAAAGTGAGAAAAAGTTGCAAGTATTTCAACTCAGCAACTACTAAAAAATGGGAAATATGAATGAGATTTAGAATCTGTCTGGTGTCAAGGAATTTAAAATCTAGAGGCCTGGTACAATGAAATTCATGCGGGGGGGGGGGGGTGGCGGGAGGAGAAGGGGGTCCCCCTCAGCCCAGCCTGCATCCTCTCCAATCTGGGATCCCTCAGGGGATGTCGACTGCCAGTTTAGGGGGATCGGGGACTGCTGGCTTCTAACTGCACATCTGCCTGCTGACCTGGTCGTGTCCCTAACTGTCCCCCCTGCTGTGGCCTGGTCACCCCTAATTGCCCCCTCCCTTCCACAGACCTGGTTGCCCCTTACTGGGCCTGAAATACTTTCTTGAACTTCCTAGGAGAGAGACATCCCATTTTGCAAAAGGACAAAAGCATGCCTTATGCATGATAAAGAGAGGGAGGGATTACCCTTTCTTACAGACATTCTACAAATGATGAAACAGACACAGATAAGCTAAGGAACTTGCCCAGGACAAAGTTCCTGCATGCCTATGACAGAGATCAGAATAATATTCAGACCTAGTTTCTAACCCATTGTTAAATTTTTTTAACCTTAGAATGTATTTTTTATGAAGAGGAAAACAAGTTAATAGTGATAGGATTCTTAGAGTGCATCCTTCCTCAATTAATATGACTTCCTGTTTTTTTAGGGTTTCTTGGACTATATACAAATACACATTTAGGTAATTTTAGAGAAATAGAACAACAAATATAGGGTGTCCCCCCAAAATGCATACACACCCATTCAATATTTAAGAGTGTTCATTAAAATACACTTCATTTTCAAAATTGAGCTATCAGGTGTTAAAGTATGTATACATTTTTTAGAACACCCTGTATATGGTGAATTCCTAAAATATATATATGTGGATATGAGAATTATAAGGGTGTCTATTGAGTACTCCCAAATGCTAATGTTCCAACTAGTTGATCCTAAGTTTTGCCCAATTCACAAATTTTATCAATTTCTGATTCTCTTTAGGACTCTTATTTCTAAAAAGTTCTAGGAAAAATGAAGAAACAAAAAGTAGATTCATAACTCACATCCTTTGATTTTACTTGACAAAGCAACCATAAATTAATGATAAAATATTCTCTCCTGACTAAACTATAATATTCTGGCCCCCCTGAATTTAAGCTAGGCCTTGAATTATGGACTTGTGAGTTTGTTTCTGTATTATCCAATTTTAGTGACAATACTAAGTTGGTTTAACTAGAATTCCCTTTACGCCATTTATGATCACCCTTGATGTCTAATCTGGTTTCTCATTACCTGCAACCCTCAGGTGGTATTTGCTCACACTGGCCTGCCTTCAGCAAGAATCCTGTCAGGTTGGTTTAGCCAGAATCTTTGCTGTTTAGTTAATGTTTCCACTTAACCATTTTCCATCCATGGATACCCACCCACCTTGTGCTGTGGCTATCCATTCCAACTTGTTCATGGTGTATCAAAAATTGAGTTTGGTATTGTTAGGTCTGGTCAAATAATTGAATAGATACCCACTCCCCTGGGAACTGAGCTTTAGACCACTTCACAACCAACATTTCCTTTCATTAGACCACATTCCACTTGCTAAGACCATTATCCTTCCCCTCTGGAACTTCCCAGGATCTGAACCCGCCCTGAGAATTCTATACCCAGAAAAAGCCTGAGTCCTTTAAAATCTCTGACTCCCCCATCCCTGGGTGCTAGTGCCATTTGAAGGATCAGCCCATCTAGGTTCCAGATGACCTAATAAATTTGTAATCCCTTACCACATTTGGCCTCTTGCATTCCTCCTTCAGTGACCCTAACAGATATCTCCCCAACGGCAAGCAATAATGGGGTCTTACCCGTTGCAGTGGTCTCTGTACCAACCGTGATTAACTCACTTGAATAAAAATCTATCTACCATGCCTTAACAAATGCCATTGAACAAGTTTCTTCTTTGCATAATAATTTTTTTCTTTAACCTAGCAAATTTGGATACTTGAAGATGGGATTCAAATACGTGAAAGAAAATAGGAAGACTCCAGATTCAATGTATCAAAACTAAATCCAAAAAACCTTTGTTAGGATTGGCATTGTGGTTTTCCAAAAAAGGATCGTGTTGTGTGAGGAACTGGTCAAGTGGGGGAGGGCTCAGTTGAAGGGATGTCGCAGTCAGAAATGCATAGACGTGTACACATACTTGGTGCCTTCTTGCTGTGTCCTCTCGGTGGAGAGGGAGAGCTCTCTCTCATGCCTCTTAGAAGGGAAATAATTCCATCATGGGGCATCATCATGACCTCATCTAACCCTAATCACCTCCAAAGGCCCAGCTCCAAATAGCATCGCATTGCTATGAGTTTTGGGGGAACACAATTTCCCAAACTTTGGTCATTCAGGTACCACCTCCATGTGAATTTCACATCTATGTAGATATTTTTAAAAATATATTTTATTGATTTTTTACAGAGGGGAAGAGAGAAGGATAGTTAGAAACATTGATGAGAGAGAATCATCGATCAGCTGCCTCTTGCACACCCCCCACTGGGGATGTGCCCGCAACCAAGTACATGCCCTTGACCGGAATCGAACCTGGGACCTTTCAGTTCGCAGGCCAACGCTCTATCCACTGAGCCAAACCGGTTTCGGCTCTATGTAGATTTTTATCTATGTAGGATTTGTGCTATTCATATTTTTTTAAAAAAATATGTTTACTGCCGAGACCGGTTTGGCTCAATGGATAGAGCGTCGGCTTGGGGACTGAAGCGTCCTGGGTTCAATTCCGGTCAAGGGCATGTACCTTGGTTGCAGGCATATCCCCAGTAGGGGGTGTGCAAGAGGCAGCTGATTGATGACTCTCTCATGGATGTTTCTAACTTTCTGTCTCTCTCCCTTCCTCTCTGTACAAAATCAATAAAATATATTTTAAAATATATATATGTTTACTTATTAAAATTTACCAACTTTATTCACATCCTCTCCATTAACAAAACATCCATGAGTTATGGTGCTAATTACATTTTCTTCCCTACCCATTTAAACAAATACACGATTTATTCAAATGCTTTCCAAATCTCTCACCATTAGCAGTACTCACACCCTGCTTTGGAAATTGCTTCCTTGGGAATAAAATCTGTACCTACAATTGCCACCTCCTGCCCCTGAAAGGCTGTCCACTCAGT